TATATATATATATATATATATATATATAGAGAGAGAGAGAGAGAGAGAGAGAGAGAGAAAGACACGTTCAAATGAAAACCGTGCATTTCTAAGAAACCGTGTAAACTAATTTTGACCAATAAGAAAATTCCATTTTTTTCTAATTAAATTTAATCAATAAGTGTATTTCGGTCGTTTATAATATTTTCTATTAAATATGAAAATTATTAATAAATCTTAATTAAGGAAACGTAATAAAGGAAATTTTATAAATGGTAACATTTAAATATTTAATTATGTTATAATATTAAAAATTTGAACTTGATATATTGTGATGTCATTGAATTTGCTGGTGAATCTTGAAGATTGTAAGACATAATGGAATGAATTCATCAAATCATGATTGAAAAAAATATATAAATGAAATAGGTTTCATGAAGGTGAAACTGTTTCATGTCGTAATTGAACAATGAGTAGTGAACGAGTTTCATGGTGAACCCCGTTTCATTGATGGTGTAGTTGATCTGTTTAGTAGGTGAAATGGAAAATGAAACGGGTGCATAATGTATTTGGTTCGTCATGAAATAATTGCATGATGAAACGGGTACATGATGATCTGTTCCAGAATCTTGAAGATTGTAATCTGCTCCAGAATCTTGAAGATTGTAATCTGCTCCAGAATCTTGAAGATTGTAAGGCTTAAAGGAATGAATTCATCAAATCAGGGGTGAAATAAGAAAATTAATGTACATGAAATAGTTTTCATGAAGGTGAAACTGGTTCATGGCGTAATTGAACCATGATGAATAGAGTGCATATTTACATGGGTGTGTGAAGGATATTGAAACAATTTCAGGATAAGAAATAAAAAGCCTGATGCATTAACGAAAAATGAATAAAGTTCATTATCAATATCATGAAATAACAAATGACTCATCAAACCATGAGTAAAATTTCATGTTTTATTATAAAATTTTATGAACTCAGTAAACAATGAAACTATTTCATGTTTTATTATAAAATTTTATGAACTCAGTAAATAATGAAAAATTTTCTTTATCTAAATGTAACGGATCCATCTACCAATATGATGAAAATTACGAAATATGATTAGTATTACGTTGATTAGTTTGTTGATTAAATTTTGTTTCATTAATATTACGATTTTGTTTCATACTTCTTACAAATGATTTTGTTTCATACTTCTTACAAATGATTTTGTTTCATACTTCTTACAAATGATTTTGTTTCATTAATATTACGATATACATGATATGGTTGTCATTAATATTACAACTACCAAAGTTACCATTTTGCCCTTTTCAGGATTATAAAATAATTTTTTATTTATTTATTTTTTTTAATTTCGTAATATAACCTAAACTAATTTTGACCATTGATCAAGAAAATGGATGGATGAGATTGGTTTACATGGTTTACACAAATGAGGACGGTTTTCATTTGATCGTTCATCTTTTTTTTTTTTTTTCTCTCTCTCTCTATATATAATTATACAAATACATATATGAATATATTCATACACTTTTTTAATTACTCAAATTTAATACAATAATCTCATTATATAAACATATGCTCATGCATACCCACTTACAATAACGACCTGTGGGGATCCATCTACTACAAAATCATATAACAAAATGACTGACTGTAACTGTACTATCACATAAAAACTTAAATTTATGTTATATTGGGCTGCAATGCAGCTGAACCATTAAGCATTGGGCTGTAGTAGGTACCCTTTAGAGCAAAGTGATCATACATAGTGATGGGCAAATTGGACCTTGTCTAACCCAGATCGACTGCAACTGGTTATGATCGGTTATTGTTTTATAGTCTGGAATAGAGATGGCTTAAAATTGGTTGGGGATCAGACCGGCAAGATACATCTTGATTTTAATGTTTTCTTTTATTTTTTGTCTTCGTCGATGTTATAATACAGTGTTATGTGGTTTCGAAAAAAAATGATAATGTTTTTAATTTTGAATAAAATATGCGTTTTACAATATCATAAATTTTTTAAAAAATACATCGAAATTAGTATCAATTTAACTATTTAAAATTTTTAATTCTTTTGCTAATTTCTTTAAATCGATATTTTTTTCATTATAACTTAATTTAGGGTTAATAACGAAGGAATTTATTTTTGATTTAATAATATAATTTTTTATTAAGATAATAATTGTTATAATTCAATGATTATTCTTATTATATTTTAGATTTTTATATTTAAAATGAGATGTTTATCATGTATTTGATTATGTTTATCTGCCGTTAGTTACACGAATTCAAACATGGAGCTTTAATAAGTTGTAATTACGTACAATTTACTTGTAATATTTAATTTTAAGTAATGTGCATTAATAAACGGTACTTCATGCATAAAAAATAGTTTTTAAGAGTTTTGGTTAAATGTTGTATAGTATAGTATAGTATAAATAGATGCATATATAACAAATCTTTAATTTCGAGAGCATAATTTATCAATAATATAAAAGACTTAGGGGCCGTTTACCCAATTGCTTACCCGGTAAGCGCTTGCCGATAGGAGTCAACACTATGATTAATTTTGATGTATAAGATTTTAGTATATCAAAACATATTGAATGCAACAATTTAGTGGGTAAACGTTTACAGGAGTAAGAGTTGTCATTCTCACTTACCGGACAAAACTTTCCATCATTCTCATCGCTTTTACCCAGTAAGATTCTTGACCCTTTCCATTTTCATCCGATGAGAAAATTTATACGGTAAGTATCTACCAAGTAAGTGTTTAATAAACGGCCCATTATTCATAAATATGAAATAAAATAGATTTTGTATGCTAAAATTTAAGTTGTCACTTGTCAATTCCTAATAATGATTAATAATAGCATTATATTAAAAAAAATGATTTAAATGACCATTTCTCTAATTTAATTTGGTCTTTTAACCAGTTCTGCTCTGGTTTGATCCAAATGTCACTACTTTAGCAATATATTGCGGACCTAGCTAAAGACCAAAAATTCAACACAAATATGCAATTGCGACGGCCAGATATGTAATTATGACAGTTAGGTCTGCAATTACGACTGACATTTTTTTTGTATTTTAGCTAGGTCCGCAATTTTGTGGATCTAAATATTGTGAATGTAATGACATTTAGGTTAACCTAAAAGAGAAATAGTTATGAGGCCAATTTAAATGAGGAAAATAGTCATTTGAGCTATAATTTCTCTTTTAAGTGAAGTTACTTCGAATAATATTTGGTTTTTATTTTTATTTGTTGTGTTTGTACTCTGTATTATTTTTATCAACATAAAAATATTGGGAAAATTGCATCAAAATGAAACCAACTTTCACTTAATTCCTATTTTGGAGAACCAACTTTTAAAATCGTCATTTTGGGGAACCAATTTGCACTTGATTCCTATTTTGGGGAACCAACTTTCACCTGATTCTTATTTTGGGGAACTAACTTTCAAAATCGTCATTTTAGGGAACCAACTTGCACCTGATTCCTATTTTGGGAAACCAACTTTCAAAATAATTATAGAAAAGTAACTAAATTTTCGTTTTTTTTCAAAAATTAATGCAATAAAATCTATTTTTCATTTCAAATCCCGTTTTTTTTAAATTCAGATATCAAAAGATTTTTTTGAAAAAAATTCAAATTACCACGATAAAAATTGTTTTTTACTAATGCAATAAAAAATCAATTTAATAGAAAAAAATTAATTGATGCAATAAAAAATAAATATTAAATATCACATTCAAGATTTTTATATCTAACCAATATGTGTCAATATTAAAATTTAAATCAAATTTGGCAAATCCAACCAAAAGCTTGAAAGAGACCCTTAAATTATATGTTATATGTTCAACAGATCAACCAAACACTTAAATAAACAAAAAGTTTGATAGAGACCTCTAAATGACGATTTTAAAAGTTGGTTCCCCAAAATAGGAATCAAGTGAAAGTTGATTCTCCAAAATAACGATTTTGAAAATTAGTTCCCCAAAATAGAAATCATGTAAAAGTTAATTCCATTTTAGTACAATTCTCCCAAAAATATTAATAAAAAGTCACTATAATTAGAAAACCTTGTTAGCTTTTTCTTTGGCACTCGTATACTTTTCACCGAACGTGTATGATCCTTCACCGAACTCATTTAATTTGACACCCAAGCAATGAGAACT